TTAAGGACGTTTGCGGGCATTGTTTGCGAGCATCATTTCTGCGCATGAATTTAGAGCGCRCGCGCTCATCGTGATAATGTCATTCTAATGTTTTGCTGGGCAAAATATCAAAAAATTAAGATTTTCATTTCTTCAAACACATCTATAAAAAACGCATGCAGTAGAACTGCATATATCGACTGAAGAGCACAAGAGGGCACAAACTAGGTGCACAAAGTCGTCTGGGGGTGCACACCACAACCGAAGGGCACAAAATAGGATCAAAACGTTGCTCGAGGAGGGTGCGCGCATCCCTCCCTTGGATCCGCCCGTAAAAAGGCGTTTCATTCAAAATTAGTTCAGCATAAACTAAGTAATGGTTTATGTCCTTAATTACACCTCATATTTCTTTASAAAGAAAGAATCGTTATATACCTACCCTTTTAACACGTTCCAAGTCACCTCGTTTTTTCGCTGTAACCTTTGAGGTTAGAATGTCTCTCGCACGTGCCTCATAAGCAAAACGTGATTTGCTTAGTTGTGGATCCATATCTCTGAGCCAAACAAACAAATGAACAAACAATTATCTTTTTTATGCTTTACTATGCCTTAGTATACTCTTATCTWTACTGTTTCAATATTACCTGGGGCTCTACTTATCGAACCAATCTATGTCGATTAAAAATATTACAGAAACGCATAGTATGAATCATTACCAACTCTAACTTTGATGCACATACTTCTCCTTTGTTTTCTCAAAGTAATATATTAAGACTTAGTATTCACCCTTCTTAATATTTATGCGCATATTTAATGAGCAGCATGAAAACGAGGCTATTCCCGCTTCAGAGATTCAAGATGGCGGCCATTTTTACAGTCCTTTCAGTGAAGTGGCCGTTTTTTCTACAGTACTATTTTTTGTCACAAATATTTTTAGTTTTATAGATTCCTTAAATACTGTTATAGAAATGGCAAGCAATTTTTTTAACCGTGACCTTGGTTTAGTCCCTAGTTTTACTTTTAGTTTAGTGGAGGAATACATCTCAAGTCATAGCAAATCGTCAGGAAAAAAATACATAACTAAAGGTTTCAAATACTACAGCGAAAGTTTCATTTTTGGA